ACTCAGTTACAATTGGTTAAACTATGAGTGTATTTTAGAAGATAAAGTGCTTGTTAATAGTGTGGTTTAGGGAAATGGTAACAGAAAACTCCAAAAAGTATTTACAGTCAAACCTGATATGGCACTCACTACCTGCAGTACGTAAGGCACGATAGTATAAACTCAGTTACAATTGATTAAACTATGAGTGTATTTTAGAAGATAAAGTGCTTGTTAATAGTGTGGTTTAGGGAAATGGTAACAGAAAACACCAAAAAGTATTTACAGTCAAACCTGATATGGCACTCACTACCTGCAGTACGTAAGGCACGATAGTATAAACTCAGTTACAATTGATTAAACTATGAGTGTATTTTAGAAGATAAAGTGCTTGTTAATAGTGTGGTTTAGGGAAATGGTAACAGAAAACTCCAAAAAGTATTTACAGTCAAACCTGATATAGCACTCACTACCTGCAGTACGTAAGGCACGATAGTATAAACTCAGTTACAATTGATTAAACTATGAGTGTATTTTAGAAGATAAAGTGCTTGTTAATAGTGTGGTTTAGGGAAATGGTAACAGAAAACTCCAAAAAGTATTTACAGTCAAACTTGATATAGCACTCACTACCTGCAGTACGTAAGGCACGATAGTATAAATTCAGTTACAATTGATTAAACTATGAGTGTATTTTAGAAGATAAAGTGCTTGTTAATAGTGTGGTTTAGGGAAATGGTAACAGAAAACTCCAAAAAGTATTTACAGTCAAACCTGATATAGCACTCACTACCTGCAGTACGTAAGGCACGATAGTATAAACTCAGTTACAATTGATTAAACTATGAGTGTATTTTAGAAGATAAAGTGCTTGTTAATAGTGTGGTTTAGGGAAATGGTAACAGAAAACTCCAAAAAGTATTTACAGTCAAACCTGATATAGCACTCACTACCTGCAGTACGTAAGGCACGATAGTATAAACTCAGTTACAATTGATTAAACTATGAGTGTATTTTAGAAGATAAAGTGCTTGTTAATAGTGTGGTTTAGGGAAATGGTAACAGAAAACTCCAAAAAGTATTTACAGTCAAACCTGATATAGCACTCACTACCTGCAGTACGTAAGGCACGATAGTATAAATTCAGTTACAATTGATTAAACTATGAGTGTATTTTAGAAGATAAAGTGCTTGTTAATAGTGTGGTTTAGGGAAATGGTAACAGAAAACACCAAAAAGTATTTACAGTCAAACCTGATATGGCACTCACTACCTGCAGTACGTAAGGCACGATAGTATAAACTCAGTTACAATTGATTAAACTATGAGTGTATTTTAGAAGATAAAGTGCTTGTTAATAGTGTGGTTTAGGGAAATGGTAACAGAAAACTCCAAAAAGTATTTACAGTCAAACTTGATATAGCACTCACTACCTGCAGTACGTAAGGCACGATAGTATAAACTCAGTTACAATTGATTAAACTATGAGTGTATTTTAGAAGATAAAGTGCTTGTTAATAGTGTGGTTTAGGGAAATGGTAACAGAAAACTCCAAAAAGTATTTACAGTCAAACCTGATATGGCACTCACTACCTGCAGTACGTAAGGCACGATAGTATAAACTCAGTTACAATTGATTAAACTATGAGTGTATTTTAGAAGATAAAGTGCTTGTTAATAGTG